CGCAGGAGCCTCCCGGGTGCAGGACACTGTGTCCATATTCAGCAGCAGCCACTTTACCGGTCACCCATCCAAAGGGTTTGGGAGAAAAACCCCAATGTGGAGCAGAGGTGGCCACAGCAGTTGGAGCTCTCCCAGATTTCACTGGATTCCTCTTTCTGTTCTTATTCTTTGCTGGTTGTCTTCACTGGGGTTAACACAACTCACAAACCTGCAATGTTGTCCTGGCACCAGCTTTTATGCACCAAAATCTTTAGCCCAGACAAGGGCCCGTCCTTCCCCTCTGTCTTTGTAGAGCACTGCAGCAGCTGGGCTGGCTGCTGCCTTCACACTGCTGTAATTCATAAGGTATTTCCACAAATGCCTTACAAAAAAATTGTATCAAGCTGGAGTTTGCAAGGCTTAGCCCTGTAATTTCCTACTATTTCCTAACACGAATCCATGCGTTTGTTTGCAGGGCTTCTCTTGGGAAAAATGGGCGAGCGGGGAGCTCCGCTGGTGAACGTGTGCCAGTGCCTCAACGAAGCCGTCATGAAGATCGTGTCCATGGCAGTCTGGTAAACGCAACCCTACCCGCTAATTAACAGCACTGCCATTAAAAAGAAGCCTTGGCAAATTCAAACTCATGCCAGAATTCCTAACCTTTGAGGACTTGACTTTGCGATTTGTGTGTTCTTTTAAAAGAGTGTATTTTGACTGGGGAGTTTTAAGGCGTGCATCTTTAGAGCATCTATTGTGGATTTATTTTAGAGTAATTGCATCACACTGCACCAAGTGATTAAATGATTTTAGCATCCTCACAAATGGCTTTTTCTTGCAGGTACTTTCCTTTTGGCATCGTGTTTCTCATAGCTGGGAAGATCTTGGATATGGAAGATCCATCTGTCACAGGAAAGAAGCTGGGCCTGTATGCCATTACCGTCGTGTCCGGCCTGGCCTTCCATGGACTTATTCTCCTACCTTTGCTTTTCACCCTCATCACCAAGAAAAATCCCTTTGCTTTCATTCGGGGGATACTGCAAGCCTTGCTGATTGCCTTAGCTACATCTTCCAGGTAAGAATATAAAGTGGCCTCTATTTATTAAATATACTGATGCACCTGAGAATATCCGGTTTAGCTCAGTGCATCCCAAGCTCTCCCAATGCAGTTTTACCTTTTTTTTTTCTAACCATAAACAATTTGATAATATTTGATAATGTATTTCCCCCCCCGTATACAGTTTTACTGACAGACATTTCTTTAAACAACGAGGAAACTTTACTGTAGAAACTATCACTCTTTGCGACAAGTTAGACCAGTTTTCCTTAGGGAACAGGACTCCTGGCCTCGGGAAGCGACGCTTTCCCTCTATCCAACCCCGGGCAAAGCAGTTTTCCCCAGCCCGTGTCTCCTCCTGTCAGGGTCACCGTGCGATCTGGTCCCAGACCTGGGGCTCCGGCTCCATCCTCGGCCTTGCAGAGACACCCAAGTATCAGGGCAAACCGGCATTTTCGCAGTTTTCCAGTCGGATTTATCCGACGAGCCCGCTGCTCTTCGGATTGCCCCCAAAGAGGGACCACGCGGCTCATCTTCTGCCCTCCCTCTGCCCCTCACAAAACCAGACTCGTCTTCTCCTCTGCCATCGAACCCTATCAGCTCCCTGTCAGCCTTGGAGACCTCGTTCTTCTCTGCTCTTATGGAAGAGCAGGCCCAGCTTAGAATTATAGAATCACAGAATGCTGAAGGTTGGAAGGGACCTCTCGAGGTCATCTAGTCCAACCCCCTGCACACGCAGGGTCACCTAGAGCACGTGGCACAGGGCTGCGTCCAAGCGGGTTTGAAGATCTCCAGAGAAGGAGACTCCACAACCTCTCTGGGCAGCCTGTTCCAGGGCTCTGGCACCCTCACTGCTAAGAAATTTTGCCTTAAGTTCCTGTGGAACTTTTAGTGCTTCAGTCTGTGGCCATTACCTCTAGTTCTGTTGGTGGCCACCACTGAAGAGACAGCCTGCTGAAAAAACAGCTCGCTGCCGTTTCCCCAGGAACCACCTTTTCCAAAGGGCTGCTCTACTAAGCACGGAGCTCCCGGGCCTCCCGGCCAAGCGCAGAGGCCAGCACAGGGCCACCACCGCGGTGGCAGGCGGCTTCCCTGCTCCAACGGGCTGTCCCTGGGACAGCTGTGGCCTTGGAGCCGGCTGCGCGAGCTGGAGAGCTGCTCGTGGGGAAAAAACGAGTGGGAAAACCCATCACCTCGTTGTGGTCCTGGGTCTGTGGACAGGCCCCACTCAGGGACCATGAGCTGCTGATTCCCTCAGTGCATGCAGTAATACGGGGAGAAGGTTCCTCCGTCGAAGAGTTTACAGCACAAGTGCTCATAATCCCATCAACTTCTTTTCTGAGCTCTCTTCTTCCCTTCCGTCTTGGCCCTTCTGTTTTCTTCTCCTGAATTCTGTGTTCGCTCCCATGTATCTTCTTGCTAGAAAGAAAGAAGGAAGAAGGTCAGTGGGGAACCAGACCTGGGGCAGCTACTACGACCTGCTGGTACCATGCAGGAGACAAAGCAGAAATGCAGGAGTCTGGCTGGAACACCAGCATTCCCAACACAGGCAAATTCTGCCTGTGCCAATGGTCAGGAGGTTGCTGGATTGGAACATCCCTTGGGGAACAGGGATGTGCAACCAGCAGCTGTAACCGGCACATGAACTTCTCCATATAGCCATTTCCTTTAATGCCAACGTGGCATCCTGGGCATTTCTCTTATAAATACGATGGACACAAGCAGGCTCGTTGCACCGAGCTCCCAATCAGGCATCGCTTGAAAAATTACATGTGTTCCCAAGTAGCGTCAGGTGAGGAAACCTCCTTCCTTCCTTTGCTATAGCAACTTGCACATCGCTGCTGCATTCAATCCCAAGGGACCTGCATTTCCGTACCGTTAGGTTGATGTCTCCTAACACGGCTTAGAGCTGCTCCACACAAAAGATACCCAAGGGAAAGACTCACCATGTCTTGTCCCGCAGCTCAGCAACCTTGCCCATCACTCTGAAGTGTCTTCTGGAAAACAACGGCATAGACAGACGAGTGGCACGATTCGTCCTCCCCGTCGGCGCGACCATCAACATGGACGGCACTGCGCTCTACGAAGCCGTCGCTGCTATTTTTATTGCTCAGGTTAATGAATATGATTTGGATTTGGGACAAATTATAACCATAAGGTAATGATATATTTTTTTCTGCATCTGTACTGCTTTTCCCTGTTCACGTGGATAAACATTTTTACGGCATCTCACAAATTTCCCAGTTAGCAGAGATCTTTTGACAGCGTATTCCAAGTTATCCTTGCTGGAAAGCTGAAGAATAGGGAAGCAGCAGTGTAATATGAGGTTTTTTATACCATAATTCTGGCTTTTGCTCTGCCCCCAAGCAGTGCTTGCACGAGCGGAGAAACCCTTCCAGCTCAGCAAAACACCCCAGGTCACCCAATTACTGGATATTAGATCAACCTAATGGACTTTATTCACGAGCTTCTCTCTTGTCATGCAAACAACCCCCCCGAACAACTCGGTGACAATGTGGTGACAATAATTCCTATCCCTGCAGCATCACAGCGACCGCAGCCAGCATCGGTGCCGCCGGGATCCCCCAGTCAGGGCTCGTGACGATGGTCATCGTGCTCACGTCTGTGGGGCTGCCGACCGAGGACATCACACTCATCGTCGCTGTAGACTGGGCTCTGTAAGTATCTACCATACACACTGCTAATGCTGAGCGCTAAGTGACGGCTATTAGTGCTTATGGGTTTTGATTTCCTGTTCCTTTTCCTAAAGGAGCAAGACTTCCCCAAAAGGCACTAAAAAGATGAGCGTGCATTGCTTAATACCGGGTTCAGACACTCAACCATCTGCCTGCGCTTGCACAGGGCTGTACTTGGCCTGTTGTTAGCTAAAACGGTGGCGGGGACGCTGGGGACAAGGTTCGGTGGTTCAGAAGCTCTCAAGGATCACGGCTGCCTCCATCTCATGGCTCTTTCTTCTAGGGACCGATTTCGAACCATGACCAATGTCCTTGGTGATGCACTGGCTGCTGGCATCATAGCACACGTCTGTGAGAAAGACTTTGCCCCCAAACCTGCAAAAGTAGGTGCAGCTTGTCTGGGAGAATGCAATAGAGAAGATATTAAGATTATAAACAGAAGCAAAGCATAGGCTCACTAAAGAAATTAAACTGCTTTTTTTTTCTTTTTATAGCAAGACCCAGCAAGCAACGCAGACAAGTTTCCTTCTGTGGAGATCTCACTTCTGCAGCCCAAAGACAACGTGATTGAGATGATTGAAGAAACCTTGGCTGAACAGACAGGAATTCACTACAACATCTGCCAGGTGTAGGTGGCAGCCGCCTCATTCCTGGGAAAAGGGATCTTGGTGCTAAAACACTGACGTTCTGAATGTCATCTATGGATGCTCTGCAAGAGGAAAGCATTACTTGGCCTGTGCACACATACAAAACAAACGAATAAAAAAAAACCCAGAAAAATCCCATCCTTTGAAGACCAGGATGCTCCAAAGAGCATACGGACAGCAAGACTCTGCTGCTTGGTTGTTCAAAAGGGGGAAAACGGAGCCAACTGCTTGTTGTAAACTCCGGATACAGCTGAACTTGGTGCCCTGCCTGCAGCAGCGGGATTTGAAGGTTTTATGCCACTCGTTTTTCAAGCATAGCCCTTTTTAAGGGCAGAAAAATCAGCGGCTAACAGAAAATCTGAACTGCACAAGATTAAGTAGTAGCAGAGATGAGACAAAAACCTGACACCTTATGGTCTGCTGTCTGGACTGCATTCTGGGATACTTTATTTTCTTTAATACGTAGCTTTTTTAAAGCCATTGCTTTTTTATAGTGGGACGCCACCTAAAAACTAAAATCCCACGTATATTTTGGGTCTATAGTTCAAAATTAAATTTGGACACAATTGGATTTTCTAGCCATTGCACAAAAATAGAAGGACAGTTGGTTGAAATGTTTCTCTTAATGATAGTCATTGATGCTCTCAATGATACTGCAAGTGGGATGACTTGTTGGTTGAAATGTTTCTCTTAATGATGCTCTCAATGATACTGCAAGTGTGATGACTTTCCCAGCTAAGGAGCTGTCCCTACGTTTCAACTACAATTATAGCCTTAAAATACAGGCTTCCAAACACAATCTTCTCCACAAAGGCCTTTTACACAAGTGATCTCATCTCCTTTCCCCTACGCCACCATGTAAAACATCTGGATGTAGCTTAAATTCCCCCCAGCTTCCTCCAAAAGGAGATACCCTTGAGCCAACTAATAGAGGTTTTTTCCCCTATAAATGTAATCTTCTCAGCTGGTGTCACAAAATTTCACAGCAAGTGATATTTCAACATAAATAAATAGTAAAAAAACTTCACAGAAAGCTAAGAAAGTAACAGCATCCTCCCAGCTGCCTATCTCCCACTCAACGTTCTCTGCTGCTTCTTTTAAAGCCAGTTCCACCCTAAATTTCCTGTACTTACAATAATTACTCAGCTTTGTTTAATGCTTTATGCCATATCATATCAAGCACTTTGCAAAAGTCTAGGGCAAATGGAACTACAACGCTGAATTTCTCCAAGTAATTTCTTTTTGTCAAGGAAACCCATCAAATTAATAACACTACCTGTGATGAACCCAAGCTGTGCTTGAACCACTTCAGTGGTATCTTTATATCCCTCATACAGAATTTGAAGATTTCAGAATGTTTTTTCAAGGGTAAGCGCCTTGCTCACCCAGAAACACAGTTTTAAAGCCACGTGCAGGGCAAAGATCAAGAATGGAGCACTGGTTCTCCCTTTTCTTAAATCTCATTATGTTTTGGGGTTTTTGTCTCATTTTTTTTTCAATGCAGCCTTTTGCTTTTCCAGGAATAAGGACTTGGGATAGTCCTGGTGTTTCCAACTCAGAAGCAACTCCAACTGTCCTGCACATCTGTATGAAGAGCCTTCGGGTGCAGCTGGTTTCTCTTAATAGTTCCTTGGGTTTAATCAAGGCACTCAGCTGACACGAAGCACTCGAAATATGTGTGTGTGTTTGGAGGGCACCCTCAGCAGCCCCAGGCTCAGCTGTTTGAGCCCATCTTTGAACCTCCCCTTCAACAGCACTGGAATAAGTATCTGTGGGACTAAATGGCAAATACATGCAAGAACAGAACTGCGTTAAAAGAACCCCTTGTCACAGGGGTTTTAAAAATGGATTAACTGATCTGTTCTTTATGCCCCTATCCCAACAGTTATACCTACACAAAGACTGTGACAGTTGAGGGCTGGTACAAGGAGCTGAAGCCTGGGACGCTGGTAGTGGCACCGTCACCTCGGATGACACGGAGCCTCCCCACTGAGCAAAGGGATCCAATGGGTCGGATTTCCCACTTGATCTAGGCTCCAGGACCTGACACAGAGCGCTGCTGCGAACGCCCCTGCACAGACACAAGTTCTGCTGGTTGCACTGAGCACCCCGGCATCCCCAAGTTATTTTTTGCAGCTGTATCCCTACATCAGGCTCCCTTAGCTCAACAAATCCAAGGAAAATGTCTGCCTTTTCCCCTTTTTCATCCTTGTTGGATATGGCCTTAGCTTGGTTATTGCCTCACCCCAAATGAGAATGTGCATAGCACAGCGACGAGGCAACACGATCCCACTGCTGCGGATAACAGCGTTATCCTGCTCTGGTCACTATTTGTGACACAGAGAGGCGGGATTCAGGCCAAACATTCCTTCCTCAAGGCTGCTGGCAGCCCAGCTGAGCGGGAGGAAAGCAGACGGCCTCGAAGCAGCACTCCAGCAAGACAGAGCATCTTCTGCAGCACCCTGAGAATCATAGAATCA